TGGTATTCGTCTGTAGCCTGGGAGACTCTTGCATCAAGGTATGAGAATTTGCTCAAGGAAAAGAAAGAGATAAATAGCAGAATACAAACGGAGCAATGGGCTCACCGTAAGGCCTTAAAAAGGATCGAGGAGCGACAGAAAGAAAAAATGCAGAAAGAATGAGAACTAAAAGTCGGTAGAAAGGGTAATGTTTTCGTTTAATTTAGCCACGACAAACATTCTCGACTGACACTTTTTTATAAAGAGAGTGAAGCGGATATAACCTGCTTTAGACTATCGTCCTCGTCGGAGTATTTCGCTGGTTAGTTTCCCATCATCTGACCATCAACTCAGTGAATCGATAATAGTTCATTAAATTAGTAAATTTCCACTGCAGAAATACGAATTTATGGCCATTCCTGGATGAATATTGCGAGCGCAACATCACCGGCGGCGCGCGCATGAAGACGACGAGGTGACCCTGGTGACGAGGCTGAGCGAAACCCGGAACTGCTGGTCGTGTCGCTGGTCGTATAAAAACCTTGCATCGTTGTGATAAAAAAAAAAAAAATAGGCACTAGATATACATGGGTTTCTGGATCTCGAATCAGGGAGGAATGTCTGAAGAAGAACGTAAAAAGAGACAGAACTTAGAAAAACTACTTCATAGCATGAAACATAGCTTGCAAGTGACAGCCTCTACTCACTATGAAGCAGCTGCCTATTACAGACAAGTTGATACCTACCTTCAGTACGCGTCTTACATTACAGGAGCGTTAGGGACATCAGGAAGTGTTGGTTCGAGACTAGCGTGGAATGTTCTTGGCACGAAGAATTCCCGTCTCTCAGCCATATTTATATCTTCCGCCTCTGTAACGGCGCTTTTATTCTCAGTTGCTGTAAATATCCGCCAGTTGCCTATTCCAAACTTGCCCAGTACGTTACAACAGTTAAACTTCAAAGCAGGGGTGGAATGTCAATACCTTGAAGGAAAAGTCCAGCTCTTTGCTGAAAGTGACGTTTGGAATTCGTCTGTTGCCTGGGACACTCTTGCGTCACTAGGTATGAAAATTTGCTGAAGGAAAAGAAGGAGATTAATAGCAGAATACAAACGGAGGAATGGGCTTGGCATAAAGCCTTAGAAAAGTGTAAGAAGGAAAAAAAAAAGAACTCCAAGATGAAATGTTTACAGGACCATAATATATATACATAAACTACCTTACCTTTTGGCCCCAAAACAGTGTTCAAATATTTGCGGGTCGAACCTGGGTTTGAAATATACTGATTTACGACCCCTTAAAAGGTTTCTGATAAAATATATTGCTCAGTGCAAATCCACAAAATATTTCATTCAAATGAGTACGGCGGTTTAATCTAAAGACAAATTGGAACGCCACAAAGTTAGATTTTGAGCTTAAATTCAGCAAAATGGAAGATAAATTTTATTTATTGCATGACATGATGGCCGTTCGGCTCCCGTTAAACTCAGTTCAAATATTATTACGCGACAGGCTAACTCCTCATTGTATTGTCACCAAGTTCATTGCATATAACTTAGCTAAACAAGAAAACTTTTTGTTAAATTCGCTTATAATAGCAAAAATAGATATCCACCGAGACTATAATTTCGTTAGTACCCATCGCAAGTACATTCGAATTCGCCCAAAACACAAAAATCACCCATCCGCAAAATTATTAATTTTCCGCTAAAATTTAGTGTCACACTTGCTTTCTTTCTGTATTTTTCAGCCATGTTTGACTGTTATTCTGATACCTTTTAACTGCTAGTTAAATCTGCAGATATTTTGCCGTCTCATTTTTTTTTATCGCGTCAATGGCCTGAAAAACATACGCACGTCATAAAAGTGGTAGCACACTAAAGGCGAGGAGCAGCAGCTTGTAGACGTAACACTGACAAGATCTTCGGAGCACTTTTTAGATAGCACTAAGTGAAGTAGAGGATGATCTTTTTGGTTTTAAGGTTGTTAGTTTAAGATCGGATCAAGAAAGGTCACGAGAAGACGATCACTGATCAGACAATGCCGCCTGGAAGTAAGATAGTAACAGTTTTACTAAAGAGTTGTAGGGAAGATCATAACTATATTCAGACCGGGAGGGGGGGGGGGG